CTTTAATTAAGCCAATGGCTGTCATTCTGTAAGCATTTTTCCACAATATGATATGTAACAGCATGACTAGGAATATCCAAAAACAATTGTTCGTTCACCGACTCGTTTTATCAATGCTATTATGGCAATATCCAAATATGTTTGATACATTTGCGAGCATAAAAATGAACTTGTTCCCGTATTTGGTATGGATGTTATAAGTTCAGCATGCAAAATCGATTGGGGGGCAAGAGTGTCAACAGACGTGATCGGAATTTGTAAAGAACTTCTAACAACACCATGCGTGCCAGATATAGTCCCAAGTCAGAAAAGGGATAATATAGCTTTGACTCAAGTTTTCGGAAAACGTGACGACTGGAAATGCCCTTGACAGATGACTCGCCATAAAGTGAGGCTGATTGGATTAACGAAAATGAGTAGTAAATCATCGTATCCACACAATGAGTGAGATCTTTATAAGCCACGTACGAAGCAAAAGCCGAGACGAACAACCATAACACGTGTATTAACGTCGTTAGGTATCACAAACAGTGCAGACCAATCGACCCGGAGACTTTACAAGTGGGATACAAGCATACTACTCGTTTGGTGACCGATAAAATTGTTTCACGACTCAGTTCGTACAGTCACCAAGCACTCACATCCGTGCATTGATTTTGGTGGCCTTCGTTTGGCTGTTCCACACGGTCTCCGCTCTACATTTAACAAATGCTGTTATGAAATATGATTCCGATCATAAAATCACGCTCATCTTAGCGCCCGCCGCACCCTTGGAGGCGAGGAATCAGATGGAAGCGTTTTGATACTCAGCATTAGCTGAGTAAAAAAGACGAGTAAAAAACAGCCAAGAAATACGGGAGATTTTCATTGAGCTCCATCTTATTACGGACAAATAAGGAACCTATTTCAGCATGTTTTAACAAAAGATAACGCCTTATCCATGCCGACAGAATGACCCCTTAAATTATGGGGGGGGGGGTTGACTATCCGTTTACTTATTATTAATAACGGGTGACTGGGGGTATAAGTAAAGAGAAAGAATCACCTGGAGACTTTGTACATGTGACTGCTGTTCCCTAGGAGTTGAGTTCATTGCGGACGTTGGACGACGAACGCCCGGAGTCGTTGTCCGACCCTGTAAAAATAAGCATTGAACAGTCATGACAGGAAGAAAAACAAACTGATGAATGTGCATAATTTGACCCGGTGAATATTAAATAGGATTTGACAACATAAATGTATACGAAACAAACTGTACGCGCTCAAAATTTCATTGATTTTATGCAAGTTCGGAGAACGCAACACTCGANCACTCGAACGAGCCATATACAAGTTCAACGGAGGCTGATGCAACGGGTCCTTGACAAACGTTACGTTCCCGGTCAAAATAGCGTAGGTGCCAAAGTTATCAAATTTATGCGTTTATTATTGTACGACGTGACGAGCCTTTTGAAAGACAATCCATGTGTATCACTTTTATTCGGTGATTAGAATTGTTCAGGATTCAGCCGCGACCCCCTTTTTGTCTCCAATCAATGGTGCCTATATCANATATAACAATTTCTGCTAGATGCATTTCCATCTTTATGTAAAATATTGATTTTACAGTGATACATAGCTTCGGAATCTGACGTTTGGGAATCAGGCTGGAAGAACGGCACCATTGTATTATCAACTATAACATGGATAATACAGTAAGAAGCTTCGGTAAGACAAAGAAGGAAAATCGACGCCGATGAACAAAGATGAACTAACTAGGCGCAAAATCAATCGAACGAACAGTATTTTGGGGGATAAATTCTTCTGAACCGACCTAGGATGTCATTTACCCCCAAGGTGCATAGGATTTAGGAGTGCTTCGTATTTCGAACTGTATTAAGCCTTCTTGTATTACATACACGCTTGCGTGACCAAACCCCGTAGTCACGAGAAACTGTTGTTCAGTCGCGAAAACCGGCAACCTAAGCCCTAGGAGATGGGGTGACGAATCACGCAAGACCTCGTTATGTTGGGCGTGGTACTGAGCAAGATAAGGCGTAAAAGAGTAAATTGTGAAGTTCATATGAGCTAAAGGAAAAAATATTAGTAAAGAAAAAATTACAGCAAACGCAATTAGCATGAAATGGGTGAGTAAGTCATAGAAAACGTGATAAGGGGTTCACTAAACGGCTAAGGTTTAGCACCTGATATGAGCGGAGAAAAAACCTGTGCAGGGCAGTTGGGCGAAATGAAACGCGGTTTGCCATACGCTACCGACATGGTGATGTAAAAATACTAACTGAAAGCTCAGGATTTGCGCAATAAGCCAAACGGATAGAGAATACATGTCTTTCGATGAAACTAACCAGAACCTAACAATCTCTAAAGTTTAACGACGCCTTGAATGTAACTGAAGAACACTTGCGGTGTTCTGACCCAATCGTGGAGTTTCCACATTTGTTCACTTCATACTGTACATTTCCTGATCAGCTTAGAACAAAACGTGTTTCACTCATCTTGGCAAGTGTACCGAGTTCAGATATTCACTTTTCTTCTGAATAGTTCTGAATGACTGATACACTGTACATTTGCATCTTCAGCAGAAGTATCTGCAGGTTCGTGCCTAGTTTAACTGCGGAGTAGATACTTCCAAGGCTGTGCAAAATCAGTATTCGATGACGGCTGAGAACTTCTTGCGTTCTGCGGCTACAAACAACTGGTGAAGGGGGTGGAATGAATGAATGAATGGGGAACTTGTTGTTTTGTTTTACTGCTCAGATCCGCATCAAATGCGCAATTACTGCACAAAAACGATGGAGAAATCGAACACAGGTGGTAGCTTAAACCTGTTTCGTATTCTTTTGATTGTACCCAATGCAGCAGATGGTGAGCGCGGGAAAAAATAACAATAGCATACAGAACAAACTTACATGTGCAGCAGAATTGCCACCGAGTCCATACTGGGCACGGTACGATCGAGATACCGAACTGAGATTAGACGAGTAAGAGACAAGAGATTCCTGACTTCTCCTGTAGCATAGAAGGGATAAATCCACAGGCGAATGACAATATATATATATATATATATATATATATAT